ATATTGAATTCTTAGTAAGCTTAGGGAAACACTCAGTTATGAGGTGAACACCTAGACAACTTATACCGAAAACTGTAGGCTTAATTTACAGTCACAAGTTTTATGGTTCGTAATTGTACAGAAAATAAGTTTGTTAAACAAATCTCGGTCCGAAAATTTTACTTTCTGAATGGCAGGGTGTATGGGAGTTGCCTTTGAAGAGCTAATATTTCTTGTTAGGGTACATACCATTTTGAGTTGTTTTAAAGATTTGAACAGCTCTTTCTATTTTTTCACAGGTGTTAGAACTGACAATAAAATTCTTCTACACTTGTTATGAGAGTGGTATAGAACTACAGCAGCTACCCCATACCCTTTTCATGCTTTAAAAACACAAGAGGATCTTCATCGACTACAAACAAGTTTAGTAATGTTTATAGCCGATACAGGGTCTGATCAAAATGATCTGACCACATTGACGACTGTATTGTTCCTTTTGAAGTAATCCTCTCAAATACAATATACTAAATCCAACATTTCTCCAATCCTTGAAATACTTTTGAAACGTTTCGATTTTTTTCTTATCTCCTTCTTCGTAGCAATGCGCTTTCTTTTCATTTGTGTCTTCAGTTTTGGAAGAGGAAAATGTCTGTCCTGATGGCCAAAACCTAACGCACAAGCATCGATGTGTGAGCTGGTGTATTATAATGGTGAAAAAATCACGATGGGGTTTTCCATGATGCTGGACGTTTTTGACAAATTGCTTCTCGAAAATGGGGAAAATTGTTTCTCCAAAGACGTCAGCCAACCAAATTGTGTTGTAACACTTAAAATTTACCATTCTACGCAATTTAAGTGGAACAGTTGCACGTGGACAGTTTTGCCGAAGTTTAGCTTGATTTAGCTTGTCTTCGAGGAGCCACACCGTTTATTGTTTTTATACTCTCCACTAATTCTATGAAGATTTAAACATGTCCGCCTGTCTGTTGTAATCACTGTAGCCTTTAAACGAGATAGCTCGGCAATATTTTGCATAGAGTTGCCATTTGTCTACAGGCAGTTCAAGTTCGGAGATGAGCTATATAGGTTCATTTTTAAACATAGTCCCCATATAAGTGTACCACACAATTTTCCATATTTTTCAGGTTTTAAACCGAATTCGCTGAAATTTGGTACATTGGGTCCCTATTGTACAAAATTTCTCCATTTAAAATAATAAATATAAGAGACCCCCCTTAATTTTTACTATTTTAGGGGTCGATATAAGTAATTTTTTCTCTACCATGCGTTGTCAACATTGGTCCATGTTTTGTTGCTTTGAAATTTCAGGGGGAAATCCCCATAAAAAATGGCTGAAAATTATTTCTGTGCATTACGGTTTTTAAAATCGCATGGTTGAATTTTCGGTATAGGTCCACTTTTTGGTATGTTCCCGATATTTTTATTTCAAGTATACCTGTGGATCCAAAGTACACAGGGTATCCAAAATTAGACCCAGCCGAACTTAACACCTTTTTAACAAGTTTTATTTCAGGCTCATACGAATTGGTGCATTACTCATCCCATATGACTATCTTATAAACCTGTTTAGGGCGATTGTCAAACTGTGCGTGTTCCAACGAAAACATACCTTTTACGGCCATGAACACCGGGCAATATCGAATGTATGCTAGTGGATGAGATTCCCTAGATGCGTATATCTTACAGTGTATCATATGATGAGCGTGCCATATCAGTTCTCGCACAGCGTCAATGTTCTGTGGCACAACGGGTTTTTTAGACCGCATTCGACATTGATCTTGATTAAACCCGGAAATTTATCGATGTACTCTTGTCGAATAGTGTTTGTCTAATTGATTTTCAAGTCTCCCTCGTACGACTACCCTCACTGGGATAGGGTCTTCTTAACACTTAGTTGAGTTAGTGTCATAATTTTATATAGAGGGTTTTTGATTGACTTAGGCGTTTCTTAAAAGTGAACATAGTTGTGTTGTATTCATCGAATGTCCACTATCAACTTATTCAGTAAACTCGACATTGCATTGTAGGGATAATATTCACTAGAAATTGGCAAAGATTTCCAGTCTTCTGTTTTATAAGTGAAAAGTCTCAATTGGCTGTCCTTCTGGATAAATATTTTTCTGTATAGGAGGCATTTTTTCGGATTTTTACATGTTCAACCCACCTCCAACCCCGAAAATACTGCCTCAATACCTTTCAATTTTTAAGACGTAGACATTAGTGTCGTGGTAAGTTCAATATGTCTTTATCTCAGAATACCTCTACAACCATAAAGTCTACTGGGTCTTACATTTGGTATTTTCGAGTTTGAAGTTGAGAGCTTCCAAGATCCTAAAATTTATAGAAACCTTCATTAGTTGTTATATGTTCTTCTGATCTGGGATCAATGATTTATACACCAAAGTCTTTCTAGACAGCATGGTGAACTATATGGTGACAAATTTGATTGATTCACTAGGTACACACCTCTAGTATCCCTATGAATTCCTCTCATATAATGGGTTTAATTTTCATTTTTTGTTTTTAATTGGAAGAAAAATTATATTTGTCTAAGCATTACTTAGCCCTCAGAGTTTTCAAATTGTAGTTTTAAATTCTTAAAATTTAATTTTCCTCACTGTTATGATTTTTTCCGTTATGTCACACCCAGGATCTGATATATTCGAAAGCGTGAGCATACGAAATCAACTATACGATGTTTATGCTCCATGAAAGATATGAAATTTAATATAATTATATTTCCTACACCATACACACTCGATTTCTTTTGAACCTGGCAAGCAAATTATCTTAGGTATTCCTCAAGAGTGACCTCACCAATAATTATTTACCTTTTTCCGAACTTTCAGAACTAATTTAGAAATATTATATGTTTTATATTTATTTATTTGTTTTTAATTCTTATTGTTATTGAAAACAACCCAAACCAAGTTAATGGAATTATAACAAAAACAAAAAACATAAGACATAAGCAAAGTGAATCTGAAATATTAATAACAACAACAATTTTTACAAAATCTTTTTCTTGGGTATTAAATTACAACATGAACGACGAACCCTCTAAAATCAAAAACAAATATATAACAAAAAAAAAACCCCGAAGGTGGACTATCAACAAGGCTTTGAAAGTATAACAACAACAGCTTCAGAAGTTACAACACCCCTAACAGAGACAACCACAGCAGCAGCGGCGGCAACAAAAATTAGTGAACAAAAAATCAACACAAACACAGAAATACCAGCAACAGCAGTGACAACAACAGTTCGTGGCAATAAACAAAACGAAGAAACATCTCTTAGTCTTAACACCTCTACAGTAACAACAACAACAACAGCAAATAATTGTTTAGATGGAAAACCCAAACGTAGTATTGCCAAGCTAAGTCTTAAGAAAATTCATGAAAACCCCGAGCAAGAAGAACAACAGTCACAACAACAATTTCAACATAAAATGCTAAACAAACGTAAACATCAAAGGCAACATCAATAAGTGACAACGAATAGAAAACAGTTTAAATGTTAGCGACAACAAGACGCAGAAGAAGACGAAAAAAATTCCGAATACAATAATAACAAGAAGACGAAGATGAATAATATCATATTCAATAACATCAATCGGAAATCAAATCAAATTATGTGATCATTAAGCGATAAGCAATACTACAACAACAACACAACAAATCAAATAAGTCCTTTAATATCAAACATTTAATAATTTGTCTCATAAGGATAGAAGACAATTAAAAAAAGGATAGAGCTATAACCTCAAAGTAACAGTAATCAAACCCTTCCTCTTCCCCAGCTATATAAACAAAAAATAATAATAACTGAAATAGAAAACAGGGAATAACAGAGTGAGATATTTACTATCAACAACAACAACAAAATATATTGAAGAAGAACAACAACAACAAAGAGCCCACAAGCTGAGGGATTTATATAACCGTACACAAAGCAAGTGGCCATTAAACAAAATTGTTCTTTAAGCGTTTTAATAAAAAACGCCAAAGCAAAACTGGAAGCAACAACACCAAAATAGAAGAAATAAAAAAGGCAAAAATATAAAAAAAAATCTACTTTACTTTTATAAATATTTATGTACAAAGGAATAGGAAAAAAGTAAACGTAGTCTAAGAGATATAAAACTAAAATAAAATAAAAACCAGTATTTTGTTGCATATACACACCAGTACATATAAATATCTGAAATACGAAAAATAAATCAAAATCATACTACTGTACATATTAAAAATTAACAAACGAACGCATTAAAAGCAACTTCTGTATTATATCTGGACAAAACAAAAAAAGCGAGAACAACAACAATTCTTCAAGTAACTATAAAAATAAACGAGAAACTACAAAAAGAAAACGCAACTAAACTCCAGCAAGCAAACTCCAAAAAATAAAAGCAACAAAATTCATCAAACTATATATACACACCTACATATATATATTTAAACAAAGAAACAAATCAGTAATAAGAGAGATAAAAAAGAGAATTATATATACATACCTATATATATACACACACAGAGAAGATATAATATAATAAAAAAAGAAATTCAGTCAGCCGTGCCTTTTTACAAAATTTTATCGTGCTTTTTGTATATTTTGTAAATCATCATCAAAAACAAAAGAAAAACCATCAACAACGTCTACCAAGAACAGCAAAATCGACCACATTCTAGTTGTTGTCATCACTGTCATCGTTGCCATCAGCATCATCGTCATCATACTGCGTTTAAAGCAATAACAACCGCAACCAAAACCCCGTATTAAGCCTAAGCAACTCCGCCAACAAATAACAACAACAATCCGACGCAAAACAATACCCTCCCGGAAATTTATTAAACTGCAAAGTGGTTTCTCTCTACTCTACCTACAACTCGATACTTTTATTCTCTCATCAAATCTCCATCTTTATCTCTGTCAGCCCCCACTCCGCCAGACTGTGTTCGTGTGTGTGCATTCCGAAAACGGCCACACTAGAAAAAACACACACACAGCCAAAAACACAAAAATTTTTCGTACGCATATTAGAAGAAAATGGTAATTAATTGCAAAAACTTTTCTTTCTACTTCATGTAGTTTCGTCTTTAGTGTGTCATTTATTTAAGTTTTTCGTTCTTCTTTTTTCACATTCATATTTGTAATTTTTTTTTTGTTTTCTTTTTATTATTAATATATAATTAAACTTCACTCATTCACTCGATCTTTTTCGAAACTTTTGTCTACAATTTTTCGCCCTCTCTCTCTACATTTCTTCTATTTATCGATCCACATACATACGTATATATAATATCTATTTGTTCATATGTCTGTCGTCTTAGTAATTATAAACACACCAAAAATTAGTTACAACAAAAAACTACACATTTTATTTGTATTTCTTTATTTATTGATTTATTTGGAATGAAAATAATTTTGAAATTGAATATTGATTTTAGTTTTAAGAAATTGGCAAATTGTAGTTATAACAATAATTATTTTTTCCCCAACAAAATTAGGTTTTAGAGAAATGTTAGGTAAAAGTGGAAAAAATGCTAAACACTGTTTAAAATATTAAACGAGTTTCAGTACATAATTATTATTTTATAATATTAAACCAGACATCAAAGGGATGCTGTTCTCCTTACCTTTTATTCTAAGAAATTAAATAATTTATTAATAACTTATTTTGTGTAGCAATATTAAAATTCAAGAAAATCTTGATAGTAAATGAGTTACAGAATTGAATATTGAAAGCTTTCTGCGGTCCATACGACGGATTAGCAATTTGTTTTTAATGAAATTTAAATATATATTACTTATACGCCTATGTATGGGGGAGTACATGGGGAATTGCTTCCATAAGTTTATAAATTTAAAATGATGTTTCTACGGAATGATGTGGAGGTGTAAAATTTCTTGTGGATATAGAAGCCCTTGGCTAGTGTGTTATGTGCTCAGAGGGGCTAATTCATCATAGGTCATCGTTTGCAGGTTATTTCTGAGATGACATGTGAATGACTGAAGACATATCGAAAAACATATCATATTTTTATATCGAAAATTTCTTCCATATTTCATTGAAAATATGGACTTGTCTCTCTGTAAGAAGTGTTTTATGAACAATCAAATATTTTACAAAAATCTACCTCAAAATATTTTATATATATATTTGTCAAATAATTCCTCATAAAGTTGTTTAACCGGTAATGATGTTTTATTGGCGTAATACTCAAAGTCCTCAGATTTGATATACGTAACGTTTTTTCCCTTTCTACCTGAAATGGACTTCTTTCTAAAAAATAGTTTCCTGATTCAAAATATATTATAGCTCAATATATGAGTGGCAGTAACTAAATATAAAATTGTTCACTCTCTTAGAACACGAAATGCTAAATAGGGACCATTCTTTACCTAGGAACCACCTCTAAAGATTTACATGTTTTTGTCATGTGATTAATTAATTGTACCTAACTCGGATGGATAATGCGGTCTGTGCAAAGAATAAAGAAATTTAAGCCACTTTTCTTGTCTCCTAGATCCATTATAATAATTTAAGGGCAAAGAACTTCAGATGACGATTCAAGTTGTATATATACCCTTCTTCAAACCCAATTTAAACCAATTAAAAGTCTACGAACCCTGATTTCTCGGGGTGAATATTGACGACATAACGAAAATCTTGGCTGAATCGACCCTCCGAATATTGACCGATCATTAGCAAAATATCCATTTTAATAAATTATTCCCGTGTATTGTATTGGGATGTTCGGCCTATAATTGTGGTTATGTGAACACCACATAACACCCGATCTTTACTGAAAATAATAAGCGTCGTCATTGACCATAACCGGATCTACATACAAAATTTCCTAGCCATCTGCGCGACATTTCCTCCCTCTAGTGTGGTAATTGTAATACTAAATAATTCCGAATCGGTAGATGCAAACACCAACACGCCCCTCCCCCCTAACCACACCTCTTGGATATACTACCAACTTCTGGAGTCTGCGTCCTTCAAGAATGAATATTATATATGCACCATAGAATATAAATTTTGTAATTTTTCACACAAAAGTCTGGGTCCATGGATGCCAAGTCAAGGCTCTGTGAGGAATTACCGATCCCTTCCAGCTTTTGGCCGATCAATATCCGACGGTTTGACCCAAATGATAATTGTGCACAATGAGTCGAATTCTCATGTTTTCGAATTTCTTCACAGATTTCAGGCACAGGTGTACAACTCTAAGATGAGTGGTACACCTGTGCCTGAAATCTGTGGTTTGTCAAAGAAAAAATCGACTATTTGCATCCAAGTACTTCCTCCACGAACAACTTTCGTTGGATGACCCATAAATTCCACCATAAATCAATATCCGACGGTTTGACCCAAATGATAATTGTGCACAATGAGTCGAATTCTCATGTTTTCGAATTTCTTCACAGATTTCAGGCACAGGTGTACAACTCTAAGATGAGTGGTACACCTGTGCCTGAAATCTGTGTTTTGTCAAAGAAAAAATCGACTATTTGCATCCAAGTACTTCCTCCACGAACAACTTTCGTTGGATGACCCATAAATTCCACGTTTTGGTCGGCCATTCTATGCAAATTTGTCAGAGCTCCCTTTGTCATGGTGCACAACGGATGACGAATCAAGACTGCGTGGGATATTACCGATCCTTTCCAGTTTTTGGCCAGTTTGTTCGTTTTTCGATATTTTTCCAGATTCAGGCTTTTTAGTGGACCAGTCAAATAATGAACTGTTTTGTCAAATAACACTCGACTACTTCCACCACCAACAACTTCCTTTGTTCCTTGTTTCTTATTCGAATTTCTCCGAAAATATTAGGCAATCAAATTGTTTTGTATCACTTAGAATTGACCGCTCTACATTTCCTAAGCGGAACGGTCGAAAAATTTTACCAAAGAAGCAGGCGGATCTTTCCTTCGAAGTCGCCCATCACAAACAACCATCGTCGGATTTGGCACGTCTTCGAAAAATCTCACGGTAAAACGTTGTTTTGGTTCGGGATCATACAGATTGACTCATATTTGGGAATCCAACAAGTAGAGATGGGCAGGATTCCTGCCACATGGGGACCCTTGGTCTCAATGCTGTGTGACACAACGTCTGTTCTTTGGCAAATTAATTTTTATCTTACTGTATACAACACATTGTCGAGGGCCAAATCACAATGGATGTTGCTTTCTGATTTACCCATTTCCGTTTATGTTTAAATCGGGGTTGTGCTCTCGATGTCTACGATAGAGTTTTGAAATTTTGCACATTCATTGTTACGACTTCTACAATGTTTGGAATATCGGTCCACTTCTTCGTATTGCCGATATTTCACGGTAACACAAATTTTCTGTATTTTGAGGATATTAGACACATTTTCGATTCTAATTGATTAAAAATCTTCCTACTTCTTCATACACGTTTTCAACCAAATTGACCGTAAGGTGATATTTTGAGCACTGAGGTGGTAAGTCTTCCCCTAAAAGTATAAATATCGGTCGATCTTAATATTCAGCCCTCTCATAAAATTCCCGATCGATTTTAGGTATTTTGTCGTTTATTTTTATTTAAACTATGTTAATTTTATTTGAAATATAATGGGATCGGAATGATTGTAGGTAGATAGTAAACCTAATACGTATATGGCAATATTTGAAATAGAAATAAAATTAAAGCTTACATTTTGAAGACAAAAGCCTGGCATTATCTGGATATCATTTTAAACGCCTATATCGGGAAATATATATTTTATTAAGACATCGTTTTTTAATACGAAAAATAAAAATTTGATTCAATTATTTATTTTTTTTAATTTCCTAACCAGTGTTTAGCATTTTTTACAAAAAATAAATCATATCACATTCTCTATTTCAAATGTCTTTACCCAAATCCAATATATAGAAAAAATGTCAACTTTTCATTTCATATTCCATTCTATTCTTCATTTTCTTATATTTTTTATCAGTCTATATGTTCACACCAGCAACAATACATGTTTTCATTTAATGAAACTAGATTTCTTTGTTTTTTATTCAAAATAACAAACAACAGCACCTACTGTGGGGATGCAAATAATGATCTTCTTTTGAAAACGAAAGAATGAAAGAAATATTCGTGCAAAAAAGAATGCAACACGAAAGCAACGAAACGAAAATCGATATTTTATTAAAACACTCAGAAAAATATAACTGAATGACCGAAAATTCGCCACAATACAAAAAACGTTCGCTTCGCCTTTATAAAGAAAATTAAAAAAAAACTATATAATTTAAATATATAACACTAATATGCAATATAATAATATATATAAATATTTCTCTTTATATATAACCATAAAAAATGAATGAATAAATAAAGTAGTAAAACAATGATAACCAATCGAAAACAAAAGAAAATTTCATTTGCTCGGATGCTGCTTACAAAACAAAAAACTATATATATATATATATATATATATAGTAGTCTCTATATAAATAAAGAATGAAATGAAAAAAAGAAAAGCAATAAACAAAATATGCTGTCTTGAAAATAAAGAAAAAATATTGAAAATGAAAATCCATTGAAATCATTTTAACATATAACTATGTCACTATATATACAATAAGTTTTACACAATTCTTATGTCAAAAAATATAGTAAGGGTTTAGTAATCTCTTTTTTCGCTCTCTCTCTTTTTGAAAAGGGGATTTCTGAAAGAAAACATTTGTTCTTGGGATTTCCTGTTCTGTTTTATCTTCTGGAATATTTCTACAAATGTTTATTATGTAATTGTTTCGTCTTTTTGTTTACATATATATAATACCTCAAATACCTAAAAGGATTCTAAAAATATAAAATAATGGGCAAGAGAACACCCACAGCACCATTTCTTACATCATCCCTTTTTTCTCTCCCTCCCGCTGAAGTAAAAGCAAATCAACTGCAAATGAAACAAGTAAAAAAAAAAGAAAATACCAAACGAAAAACAATCAATAACGATGACTATTTTTTTGTTATTTTTGTACTAAATCGAAAATTAAATTTATTTGATATTAAAAAA